GTAAGTCTGTAACTCCAAAGTATCCTGCAAGGTTGGACACTTATCTGTGAACGTAAGTCTGTAACTCCAAAGTATCCTGAAAGGTTGGACACGTATCTGTGAACGTAAGTCTGTAACTCCAAAGTATCCTGGAAGGCTGGACACCTACCTGTGAACGTAAGTCTGTAACTCCAAAGTATCCTGGAAGGTTGGACACCTACCTGGTGAACGTAAGTTTGTAACTCCAAAGTATCCTGGAAGGTTGGACACTTATCTGTGAACGTAAGTCTGTAACTCCAAAGTATCCTGGAAGGCTGGACACTTATCTGTGAACGTAAGTCTGTAACTCCAAAGTATCCTGGAAGGTTGGAAACTTATCTGTGAACGTAAGTTTATAACTCCAAAATATCCTGAAAGGTTGGACACTTATCTGTATAACGTAAGTTTATCACTCCAAAGTATCCTGGAAGGGTGGACACCTACCTGTGAACGTAAGTCTATAACTCCAAAGTATCGTGGAAGGCTGGACACGTACCTGTGAACATAAGTCTATAACTCCAAAGTATCCTGGAAGGTTGGACACTTATCTGTGAACGTAAGTCTATAACTCCAAAGTATCCTGTACGTTCACAGGTAGGTGTCCAGTCTTCCTGGATACTTTGGAGTTACAGACTTAGGTTAACAGATACGTGTCCAACCTTCCAGGACACTTTGGAGTTACAGACTTACGTTCACAGATAATTGTTCAACCTTCCAGGATACTTTGGAGTTACAGACTTACGTTCACAGATAAGTGCCCAGCCTTCAAGGATACTTTGGAGTTACAGACTTACGTTAACAGATAAGTGTCCAACCTTCCTGGATACTTTGGAGTTACAGACTTACGTTCACAGGTAGGTGTCCAGTCTTCCTGGATACTTTGGAGTTACAGACTTACATTCTCAGATAATTGTCCAACCTTCCAGGATACTTTGGAGTTACAGACTTAACGTTCACAGGTAGGTTTCCAGCCTTCCAGGATACTTTGGAGTTACAGACTTACGTTCACAGATAAGTGTCCAACCTTCCTGGATACTTTGGAGTTACAGACTTACGTTCACAGGTAGGTGTCCAGTCTTCCTGGATACTTTGGAGTTACAGACTTAGGTTAACAGATACGTGTCCAACCTTCCAGGATACTTTGGAGTTACAGACTTACTTTCTCAGATAAGTGTCCAACCTTCCAGGATACTTTAGAGTTATAGACTTACGTTCAGAGGTAGGTGTCCAACCTTCCAGGATACTTTGGAGTTACAGACTTACGTTAACAGATAAGTGTCCAACCTTCCAGGATACTTTGGAGTTACAGACTTACGTTCACAGATAAGTGTCCAACCTTCCAGGATACTTTGGAGTTACAAACTTACGTTCACAGATAATTGTTCCACCTTCCAGGATACTTTGGAGTTACAGAATTACGTTCACAGATAAGTGTCAGCCTTCGAGGATACTTTGGAGTTACAGACTTACGTTCACAGATAAGTGTCCAACCTTCCAGGATACTTTGGAGTTACAAACTTACGTTCACAGATAAGTGTCCAACCTTCCAGGATACTTTGGAGTTACAGACTTATGTTCTCAGATAAGTGTCCAACCTTTCAGGATACTTTAGAAGTGTTCACACCTTCCAGGATACTTTGGAGTTACAGACTTACGTTAACAGATAAGTGTCCAACCTTCCAGGATACTTTGGAGTTATAGACTTACGTTCACAGATAAGTGTCCAACCTTCCAGGATACTTTGGAGTTATAGACTTACGTTAACAGATAAGTGTCCAACCTTCCAGGATACTTTGGAGTTATAGACTTATGTTCACAGATAAGTGTCCAACCTTCCAGGATACTTTGGAGTTACAGACTTACGTTCATAGATAAGTGTCCAACCCTCCAGGATACTTTGGAGTTAGAGACTTACGTTCTCAGATAATTGTTCAACCTTCCAGGATACTTTGGAGTTTTACACTTACGTTCACAGATAAGTGTCCAACCTTCCAGTATACTTTGGAGTTATGGACTTACGTTCACAGGTAGGTGTCCAGCCTTCCACGAAACTTTGGAGTTATAGATTTCCGTTCGCAGGTAGGTGTCCAACCTTCCAGTATACTTTGGAGTTACAGACTTACGTTCACAGATAAGTGCCCAGCCTTCCAGGATACTTTGGAGTTACAGACTTACGTTCTCAGATATGTATTCAATCTTCCAGGATACTTTGGAGTTATAGACTTACGTTCACAGATAAGTGTCCAACCTTCCAGGATACTTTGGAGTTATAGATTTACGTTTACAGGTAGGTGTCCAGCCTTCCGGGATACTTTGGAGTTACAGACTTACGTTAACAGATAATTGTCCAACCTTCCACAATACTTTGGAGTTATAGACTTCCGTTCACAGGTAGGTGTCCAACCTTCCAGGATACTTTGGAGTTACAGACTTACGTTCTCAGATAAGTGTCCAACCTTTCAGGATACTTTAGAATTACAGACTTACGTTAACAGATAAGTGTCCAACCTTTCAGTATACTTTGGAGTTACAGACTTACGTTCACAGGTAGGTGTCCAGCCTTCCAGGATACTTTGGAGTTACAGACTTACGTTCTCAGATATGTATTCAATCTTCCAGGATACTTTGGAGTTATAGACTTACGTTCACGGGTAGGTGTCCAGCCTTCCAGGATACTTTGGAGTTACAGACTTACGTTCACAGATAAGTGTCCAACCTTCCAGGATACTTTGGAGTTACAGACTGATGTTCACAGATAAGTGTCCAACCTTCCAGGATACTTTGGAGTTACAGACTTACGTTCACAGATAAGTGTCCAACCTTCCAGGATACTTTGGAGTTATAGACTTACGTTCACAGAAAAGTGACCAGACTTCCAGGATACTTTGGAGTTATAGACTTACGTTCACAGATCAGTGTCAAACCTTCCAGTATACTTTGGAGTTACAGACTTACATTAACAGATAAGTGTCCAGACTTCCACAATACTTTGGAGTTATAGACTTCCGTTCACAGGTAAGTGTCAGCCTTCCAGGATACTTTGGAGTTAGAGACTTACGTTCTCAGATAATTGTTCAACCTTCCAGGATACTTTGGAGTTTTACACTTACGTTCACAGATAAGTGTCCAACCTTCCAGTATACTTTGGAGTTATAGACTTACGTTCACAGGTACGTGTTCAGCCTTCCAGGATACTTTGGAGTTACAGACTTATGTTCACAGATAAGTGTCCAACCTTCCACGATACTTTGGAGTTATAGACTTACGTTCACAGATAGGTGTCCAACCTTCCAGGATACTTTGGAGTTACAGACTTACGTTCTCAGATATGTGTCCAACCTTCCAGGATACTTTGGAGTTATAGACTTACGTTCACGGGTAGGTGTCCAGCCTTCCAGGATACTTTGGAGTTACAGACTTACGTTAACAGATAAGTGTCCAACCTTCCACGATACTTTGGAGTTATAGACTTACGTTCACAGATAGGTGTCCAACCTTCCAGGATACTTTGGAGTTACAGACTTACGTTAACAGATAAGTGTCCAACCTTCCAGGATACTTTGGAGTTACAGACTTATGTTCACAGATAAGTGTCCAACCTTCCAGGATACTTTGGAGTTATAGACTTACGCTCAGAGGTAGGTGTCCAACCTTCCAGGATAATTTGGAGTTACAGACTTACGTTCACAGATAAATGTCCAACTTTCCAGGATACTTTAGAGTTACAGACTTACGTTCACAGATAAGTGTCCAACCTTCCAGGATACTTTGGAGTTATAGACTTACGTTAACAGATAAGTGTCCAGCCTTTCAGGATACTTTGGAGTTACAGACTTATGTTCACAGATAAGTGTCCAACCTTCCAGGATACTTTGGAGTTACAGACTTACGGTCTCAGATAATTGTCCAACCTTCCAGGATACTTTGGAGTTATAGACTTATGTTCACAGATAAGTGTCCAACCTTCCAGGATACTTTGGAGTTACAGACTGATGTTCACAGATAAGTGTCCAGCCTTCCAGGATACTTTGGAGTTATAGAGATACGTTCAGAGGTAGGTGTCCAGCCTTCCAGGATACTTTGGAGTTATAGACTTACGTTAACAGATAAGTGTCCAACCTTCCACGATACTTTGGAGTTATAGACTTACGTTCACAGATAAGTGTCCAACCTTCCAAGATACTTTGGAGTTAAAGACTTACGTTCACAGATAAGTGTCCAACCTTCCAGGATACTTTGGAGTTACAGACTTACGTTCACAGATAAGTGTCCAACCTTCCAGGATACTTTGGAGTTATAGACTTACGTTCACAGATAAGTGTCCAACCTTTCAGGATACTTTGGAGTTACAGACTTACGTTAACAGATAAGTGTCCAGCCTTCCAGGATACTTTGGAGTTATAGACTTACGTTCACAGGTAGGTGTCCAACCTTCCAGGATACTTTGGAGTTACAGACTTACGTTCACAGATAAGTGTCCAACCTTCCAGGATACTTTGGAGTTACAGACTTACGTTCACAGATAAGTGTCCAACCTTTCACGATACTTTGGAGTTATAGACTTACGTTCACAGGTAAGTATCCAACCTTCCAGGATTCTTTGGAGTTACAGACTTACGTTCACAGATAAGTGTCCAACCTTCCAGGATACTTTGGAGTTATAGACTTACGTTCACAGGTAGGTGTCCAACCTTCCAGGATACTTTGGAGTTACAGACTTACGTTAACAGATAAGTGTCCAACCTTCCAGGATACTTTGGAGTTATAGACTTACGTTCACAGGTAGGTGTCCAACCTTCCAGGATACTTTGGAGTTACAAACTTACGTTCACAGATAAGTAACCAGCCTTCCAGGTTACTTTGGAGTTATAGACTTACGTTCACAGGTAGGTGTCCAGCCTTCCAGGATACTTTGGAGTTACAGACTTACGTTAACATATAAGTGTCCAACCTTCCACAATACTTTGGAGTTATAGACTTACGTTCACAGGTAGGTGTCCAACATAACCTTGCCAACAAGTCGATGATTTTTATAGCAAGTATAGCGCACTCTATTGTCATAACTGAAGACATTACGTTAACACTCTCCCCTTCCCAGTCTCCAGTTACCATGCACTGTCGTCTGTCCCTTCCTGCCACGTTGAAACCTCGCAGACAGGCGTACGTCACAAGGGAGCCAGATGAAGTGCCACTGTACTCGATGGTACCGTAGGTTGGCGTTACCGGGACAGGACAGTCTTAACAACAAAATTTCTTTTTTATCAGAAAAGGTCACGATACTCAGACGCATGGTACATTGTATCTAGTAACCGCCTGATATAAAGATAGGGATAGTCAGTAGAATGAATATTAAAATGTCAACACAAACATACAAAGAACTAAGCGCAACAATATGTCAGAGAGACAGAAGACAGCCTATGTTTTTCACCGTCATTGAATGGTGCATTATACATAGTAACTATGGGGTGTATCAGTAGATAGCTTTACCACTGTATAACTCCTCTGCTATAGCAGGACTTCCATCAGTAGTTAAGTCTTCATCAGTAATCTAGCAACAATCGATAAATAACCACTAAAACGCAATGAGTTCGCCGCATTGGTCGTCGTAGAATCCCCTGAGACACCCTTCTCTATTTTGTGCGAATTCACTATATTATCGTAACAAAAAAGAAGTTGTTATAACACAACCTGTAGAATATGTAAGTGCGACGTTTCGATGACCAGCGCGAAGCGTAACAGCAGTGACGTATTCAGTGTACGAGATGGCACGAAATCGACTTCTTCGCATGCACTATACCTACTAAACTTACACAAGATGGTAACAATATACAATAGACGATTCGACTACGCTTTCTTTAACACTTGGCCAGAGATGTGCGAGAGTTTGTGACCCTCTCTTTTATTGCCATTACCTGCAAAAAATGTTCCAAAACATTTTTGTAATATTTTGTCTCCAAAGCTTACTAATAAGATTACCTTCAATACCCGTCGTTTATTTGCATAGATTCTAGGGATGATGTTACCTCATTTTTATGTAGAAATATCTTCGAATCTTGTTAATATTTTGGACTTTTAAATCAATAACGATTTAAAAGTGTTCATGTATTCGGCTTTAGTAATTGGGAAATAAAACCACATCTAGAACTATGTCATTCAACTCTGGTTTTTGTTATGCTATCCGTTATACATACTTTAATGAAACAGACTATAGCGTAGCCTCGTTCTGGTGGATGTTTTGGGGCAGCCATGTTAACGGTACTAACAGTACTAGCCATAACAGTAATAAGCGATGAAACCGTTACGAGACGACTCGTCCACAGTCATATGGAAACAATTCTCATTCAAGTTCATGCCCCAGATGTGGATTCAAGCCAAATCATGCGAGGGAAAAGTGTCCAGCTCGCGAAGCAACGTGCCGTAAATGTAACAAAACTTTGCCACTTTGCAAAACGATGCAAGTCACAAATTGACGAATAGACCCAGGAATTTGAAATGAATTTCCTAGGAACCATTGATGTTAATGACCCTTGGCTCATCAAGCTACAGATAAACAAGACTACGATATTAGTTGAATTTAAACTGGATACTGGAGCGGACGTAACAGCAATTCCGATAACTGTGTACAGGGAGATTGGTTGCCCTAAGTTACAGTCCTCGAATAAAGTTCTGCATGGTCCTGGACAGAATAAACTTTCAACTTAGTTTCAGTTTAAGTGTGTGTTCAGTACCGATACCGAGGCTTGCGTAGAAATGTTTGTACTGAAAACGCTTAAAATACCACTGTTGGACAGACCAGCTATAAATGAGTTGAATTTACTGAAAATTTTGCGGCCATACACGAATCCAGCAAACTTGACCCAGTTTCACTGTATCCGGTATCAGTGGACTTGGGAAAATTGAAGGGGAGTACGAAATCAAGCTTCGAGAGGATGCGAAAACCTATGCTCCGCATCGCGTACCATTATCTTTATTTGACAAAGTGAAACAGGAATTGTCACGGATGATTAAGTTAGGAGTGATCTCGCCAGTGGACGAGCCTACTGACTGGTGTTCTGGACTTGTAGTAGTCCCAAAGAAAACCAACGCTGTTCGACTCTGTGTAGATCTCACTCAGCTTAACAAGTCAGTCCGACGCGAAACTATTCAACTACCAAGTGTCGAAGATACACTTCATCGACTAACTGGAGCTCGAGTTTTTTTCAAAGCTCGACGCGAACTCAGGATTTTGGCAAGTGCCCCTCAAGGAGACATCCAGACTCTTGACGACATTTATGACGCCGTTTGAGAAATATTACTTCAATCGACTGCCCTTTGGAATATCTTCAGCACCAAAACATTTTCAGGATCGCATGATTTAGCTTCTGGAAGGCGTAGATGGGGTAGTGTGCCAGATGGAAGATATATTAGTATTTGGATCTAACCAGGTGGAACACAATACACATCTGGAGGAAGTGCTTAGCCGGATAACCAAAGCAGGGTTAACCCTAAACCACGACAAATGTGAATTCAACCAGTCAAGTATTACATTTGTGGGACATGTAATTGTTGAGAACGGTATTCGAGCGGACAATAAAAATGGTCCAGGCAATCATCGACATTGAGGCACCAGAAAATGTTAGTGGTGTGCGCAGGTTTCTCGGAATGGTCAACCAGCTAGGTCGGTTCACCCCAAATCTCGCCGAGCTCTCAAAGCCAATACGTGATCTGTTACACACAGAAAATTCATGGATCTGGGGAGAGCCTTAAGTTCAAGCTTTCGAAGCCATTAAGAAGGAGCTTAGTTGTACACCAGTACTATCTTTGTATGACCCCAACGCTAAGAGTAAGGTCTCCTCAGACGCCTCAGCATACGGATTAGGAGCAGTTCTCCTACAAGCTTCGAAACATGATGACTCGGGGAAAGAAATCTGGAAGCCAGTGGCATACGCATCACGCGCAAGGAATTCGGAACAGCGCTATGCACAGGTTGAGAAGGAGTCGCTAGCTCTTACCTGGGCGACAGAGAAATTTGCGGACTTCCTCATCGGAACACACTTTCTCATTAAGACTGACCATAAACCACTTGCATCCCTGCTGGGAGTAAAGTCTATTTGTGACCTCCCTCTTCGTATACAGAGATTCAGAATAAGGCTGATGAGATTCGAGTATGACATATCTTATGTACCAGGTAAGCTTCTCTATACAGCTGATACACTATCAAGGTCACCATTGCCATTGACCCAACCTCATGATACAGATCTTCAGTAGGAGGTAGAATCATATGTTCACCTTATTTTGGAAAGCTCGCCAGCCACAGGACCGCGCTTAGCCGAAATACGAGCAAAGCTTGCCGAAGATGCTGTATGCAGTGTCATTATAAGGTACTTGTCAAGAAAGTTGGCCTGCGTATGAGCAGCCATCGATTACGGTCTCTACAAGACCCTACTGGCAAGTAAGAGAGGATCATTCTGTATGTCACGGACTCCTATTTCGTGGTAATCGTCTAGTTATACCTACTGAGTTACGTGCAGAAATTCTACAAAGGTTGCATGAAGGCCACCAAGGCATAGTCAAATGTCGAGAACGGGTCAAATCTTCAGTGTGGTGGCCAGGTCTAAGTTGTGGAATCGAGGACCTTGTCAAGAATTGCAGCTCATGTGTGAAGCACCGAAATGATCATGCTGAACCCCTGATGCCTAGCAGGCATCCAGACCATGGCAGAAAGTTGGATATTTGCCAAATGCGAAACACAAACTACATTGTGGTCGTAGATTATTTCTCGTGGTACATTGAACTTGCGAAACTCTTATCAACGACGTCACAAGGAAGATGAAAGCAAGGTAAAACAGAAGGTAAACTTTGATGTTTCCCATCGTGCTGTGAGCCTCCCAAAATTGAGGCCTTGTGAGACTGTATGGGTCAAAGAGCAAGGAGGTGGATTTCCTGGAACAGTCGCGTCTTCCATCGAGAATAATGATAGATCCTACTGGGTGTCCAAATCATCTGGTAAAGTCCGTCGAAATCGACGACAGCTTGTGAGTGCGCCAAAACCTACCTTGTCGAATGGAGACCAGGAACAGGATGTATATCAGGACATGGATTCAAAAACTGTGCTTGAAAGTGACTGCCAACATAATGAACCCACTAGGTCTACCATGCTGGTTCTGACAAATCCGTGTCCCAAACTCCAAGTGCTAGTGGTGATAATTATATTATAGGACAAAGTCGGGTAGATTGTCCAAACCACCAGTGAAATTGAATTTGTGACTCTGCGAATGTGTTTTTGGCTTTATTGTTAGTCATGTCATGATATAGTCAAGTAGTTGATTCATGACTGCTATAGTTTTAAATTTAATTTTGGACTGGAAAATTATAACTTTTGCTTCGGTTTAATGTTGAAAAAAGAAGGTTGAAAACTTTTCAGAATTATAGCAAGTAGTTAAAGGTAACATAATTTTAAGGTTAAGAACATGAACCAGTTAATATTCCACAAAGGGGGATGTTATCCGTTATACATACTTTAATGAAACAGACTACAGCGTAGCCTTGTTCTGGTGGATGTTTTGGGGCAGCCATGTTAACGGCATACGTGTGTTTGATCAATTACAGACAACATAACAGTTGTTAACATTTGAGCCATGCAGTCACTGAGTGCTCATTTGATACACCACAACATGCCTGGATCAACTATATGGCTAACAAAACAGTTACCACGAGGACATCCTGCGTTACAGTGGTATGTAATTGACGTCGAAACATTCGCTCGAAACATGTTTGGACGTTAAAACACCCGCTTGGGAAAGTATTTGCTCAAAATATGTTTTTGACATCAGAATGCTTGCTTGATTAAGTACTGTGTATTTCCTCAAATCATGTTTTGAACGTTAAAACACTCGCTCGGGAAAGCATATGCTCAAAACATTTTTTAAACGTCAAAATACTCGCTCGGGAAAGCATTTGCTCAAAACATGCTTTGGACGTCAAAACACTCTCTTGGTTAATTATTTGTTGTAGTGTTGTCATGGTCACAGCTATAACTAGTGTAAACGTGGTCCATTGGGAGGCTTGTAGTGTCGTCATGGTCACAGCTATAACTAGTGTAAACGTTGTCATAGATGAGGGTTGTAGTGTCGTCATGCTCCCAACTGGAACTAGTGTTAACGTGGTCCTAGGGGATGCTTGTAGTGTCGTTTGGTCACATCTATAACTAGTGTAAACGTGGAGCAAGGGAGACTTGTAGTATTGTCATAGTCACAGATATAACTAGTGTAAACGTCGTCCTAGAGGAGGCTTGTAGTGTCGTCATGGTTACAACTATAACAATTGTAAACATATATCATAGGGGAGACTTGTACTGTCACCATTATCACATATAAAACTAGTGTAAACTTTGTCCTATGAGAGCCTTGTAGTGGCTATAACTAATGTCAACACGGTACTAAGGGAGGCTTGTAGTGTCGTCATGGCCCGGCAATAACTATTGTAAACTTGGTCTAGGGGAGGTTTATAGTGTCGTCATGATCACAGCTATAACTAGTGTCAACTTTGTCCTATGATAGCGTTGTAGTGGCGTCATAGTCACAGCTATAACTAAGGTCAACGCGGTACTAAGGAAGGCTTGTAGTGTCGTCATCGTCACAGCTATAACTAGGGTAAATGTGATTTTAGGACAGACTTGTCGTGTCATCATGGTCACAGCTATAACTAGTACAAATATGGTGCAAGGGGCTGGCGAGTGGCTTGTAGTGTTGTCATCATAACAGCTGTAACTAGTGTAAACTTTGTCCTAATGGAGGTTGCGTGTCGCCATGATCTCATCTATAACGAGTGTAAACGTGGTCCTAGGAGTGGGTTGTAGTGTTGTCATGGTAACAGCTATAACTAGTGGAAACGTGGTGCTAATGGAGACTTGTACTGTCGTCATGGTCACAGATATAACTAGTGTAAACGTAGTCCTAAGAGTGGGTTGAGGTGTCGTCATGGTCACAGCTATAACTAGTGTTAACGACATCCTAGAATATTGCTCTAGTGTCGTCATGGCCACAGCTATAACTGGTGTAAATTAAATGTGGTTCTAGGTCAGGCTTTTAGTCTCGTTATGGTCACAGCTATAACTAGTGCAAACATGGTGCAAAGCGGTGACGAGTGGCTTGTAGTGTTGTCATGGTAACAGTTATAACTATTGTAAACGTGGTGTTAAATGAGACTTGTAGTGTCGTCATGGTCACAGCTATAACAAGTGTAATCGTGATGCTAGGGGAGACTTGTTTTGTCGTCACAGCTATAACAAGTGAAAACGTGGTCATAGGAGAGGGTTGTACTGTCGTCATGGTCAGATATAACTAGTATAAATATTGTCCTAGGAGTGGGTTGAGGTGTCGTCATGGTCACATCTATAACTAGTGTAAACGTTGTCGTAGGGGAGGCTTGTAGTGTAGTTATGGTCAAAGCTATAACTAGCGTAAACGTTGTCCTTGAGTAGGCTTATAGTGTCGTAATAGTCACTGTTATAACTACAGTAAACGTGTTGCAAAGGGAGTTTTGTAGTATCGCAATGGTCACAGCTATAACTAGCGTAAACGTGGACTGAGGAGAGGGTTGTAGTGTCGTCATGGTCACAGCTATTACTATTGTAAACGTGGTCCTTTAATAGGTTGGTAGTGTTGTCATGGTTACAGCTATAACATGTGTGATCATGTGTCCTAGTGGAGGCTTATATTGTCACCATTATCATATATGTATATCTAGTGTAAACGTGGTCCTAGGGGAGGCCTGTAGTGTCGTTATGGTCACAGCTATAACTAGTGTAAACGTGGTCTGAGGGGAGGCTTATAGCGTCGTCATGGTCACAGCTTTAACTAGTGTAAACGTTGTCCTAGAGGAGGATTTTAGTGTTTTCATGGTCCAAACAATAACTAGTGTAAACGTTGTGACAGGGGATGCTTGTAGTGTAGTTATTGTCACAGCTATAACAAGTGTAAATATTGTCATAATGGAGGCTTGTAGTGTCGACATGGTCACAGCTATAACAAGTGTAAACATGTGTCCTAGTGGAGGCTTATACTGTCACCATTATCATATATGTATATCTAGTGTAAACGTGGTCCTAGGAGAGGCCTGTAGTGTCGTTATGGGCACAGCTATAACTAGTGTAAACGTGGTCCTAGGGGAGGCCTGTAGTGTCGTTATGGGCACAGCTATTACTAGTGTAAATGTAGTCCTAGGGGAGGCTTGTAGTGTCGTCATGGTCACAGCTTTAACTAGTGTAAACGTTGTCCTTGGAGAGGCTTGTAGTGTCGTTATGGTCATAGCAATAACTAGTGTAAATGTAGTCCTAGGGGAGGCTTGTAGTGTCGTCATGGTCACAGCTTTAACTAGTGTAAACGTTGTCCTTGGAGAGGCTTGTAGTGTCGTTATGGTCATAGCAATAACTAGTGTAAATGTAGTCCTATGGGAGGCTTGTAGTGTCGTCATGGTCACAGCTTTAACTAGTGTAAACGTTGTCCTTGGAGAGGCTTGTAGTGTTGTCATGGTCACAGCTATAACTAGTGTAAATGTGGTTCTAGGGCGAGCTTGTAGTGTCGTCATTGTCACAGCTATAACTAGTGTAAACGTTGTCCTAGGAGAGGCTTGTAGTGTCGTCATGGTCACAGCTATAACTAGTGTAAATGTAGTCCTAGGGGAGGCTTGTAGTGTCGTCATAGTCACAGCTATAACTAGTGTTAACGTTGGGCAAGGGGGAGGGGGTGCTGGTGGTGTCGTCATAGTCACAGCTATAACTAGTGTAAACGTAGTCCTAGAGAAGGATTATAATGTCATCAATGTCACAGCTATAACTAGTGTAAACGTTGTCCTAGGAGAGGCTTGTAGTGTCGTCATGGTCACAGCTATAACTAGTGTAAATGTAGTCCTAGGGGAGGCTTGTAGTGTCGTCATAGTCACAGCTATAACTAGTGTTAACGTTGGGCAAGGGGGAGGGGGTGCTGGTGGTGTCGTCATAGTCACAGCTATAACTAGTGTAAACGTAGTCCTAGAGTAGGATTATAATGCCGTCATGGTGACAGCTATAACTAGTGTAAACGTGGTCCTAAGGGAGGTTTTTAGTATTGTTATGGTCACAGCTATAACTAGTGTAAACATTGTCATATGGGAGGCTTGTAGTGTCGTCATAGTCACAGCTATGACTAGTGTTAGCGTTGTCTTAGGGGAGGCTTTTAGTGTCGTCATTGTCACAGATATAAGTAGTGTAAACGTTGTCCTAGGGGAGGGTAGTATTGTCGTCATGGTTACAGTTATAACTAGTGTGAACGTGTTCCTTGGGGAGGGTTGTAGTGTAGTCATGATTATAGCTGTAACAAGTGTAAACGTGGTCGTAGGAAAGGCTTGTAGTGTCGTCATGGTCACAGCTATAACTAGTGTAAACGTGGTCCTAGGAGTGGGTTGTAGTGTCGTCATGGTCACAGCTGTAACTAATATTAATGTGGTCCTAGAAGAGGGTTTTAGTGTCGGCATTGTCACGTTTATTTCCTAAAAACATTTGTTTTTTCTGACCCAATGAAGTATTTCCCCATAAATCGCATACTATTCCATAACGTTCCTAATAATTGATAACGACGACAAAGCAAAATATCGCAATGACACTGATTTCTTGACATGATATTGTTTATATGAAAACAAATGTCGAAATATACAAGACTGTAACAAAAATACCATGAAGAAATCATTTTATTTGTACACTTGCTCGTAAACAATCAGATAACTAAGAAATATAAATGGCATTCAGATAAATTTTGTTCATCTCGTCGGTAGCCCGAAATTTGTGACCTATGAGCTATAAGCTATAGTTTACACAAGGTGTTGGAATGTAAGATTCACTAGAAAAAACGCACGGTATTCACATTTAAGCAGTAATCGTATGTTTCATTCCTATTCGGATGTCAGGCTTTCCACAACACTTTCATGTTCAGTCTACAGAGGTATACAATACTAGTATACAGGTTATCACAGTAAAATAGTAAGTTACAAGAGGAAACGCAGGTTATGTCAAGATCAATGTTCATTTTATTAAGTTTTCTTGAATTTGAAATAAAAACGAAAATTTTAAAATCAATACAAGTTATGATATTCTCATGATACAAAATGTTCATTAGAACCATAGTACGTTGTAGTGCTTAGTTCGAAGTTGCGATAGGAAACAGCTGTAAAATTTTCAAGAATTGACCTCTCAAGACAAAACCGGGATAATTTCCTCAAAGCATTATTCATTGAAAGGGCTAATCCCTTTACTGTGCGTAATACGTCTTTGCTCAATTCAGTGGTAAGTGGGAAGTTGATGGAAGCATTAGGTGCTGCGATAGGTATTTATCCAAACAAATGGAAGCACCTACAGAAGAAGCAGAAAAGCCGTTATTGACATCCACAGGAGACGCATGCGCAGATGGCGTTGGTATTTATCCAAACAAAAGGAAGCACGTACAAACGAAGCAGATAAGCCGTTATTGACATCCGCAGGAAACGCATGCGCAGATGGCGTTTTAGAAAGAGTAAGTCAAATATCATCCTTTACCTCGACAAAAATTGGCCGGTTCTGCACTTAATGTCCCACGCATGCCCGACTGAATGTCCGCCCAAGCTATAACATCACCCTGTTCAACATCACACGATATCCTCATTTCATCTATAGTTGTAAGGGGCAGTTCACTAGACCATATATTCAGTCTTGTTAGCTGTCCTATATAGGATTCACTACTGCTAAAGCCATCCGGATCCTGTTCCTGACCCACAACGAAAGTACCACCACCTTAAAATGTCAAATAAGACAAAAGACTAAGAAATATCTTTGTTTGTGTTAAACATGTTCATCCAATTCCTCAAAACTACAGAAGACTTATATACAGTGTATGCTTTTTTCTCATCACTATTTTTTTGTATACATAACAATGGGCAGTTGTAGATGCATAAAGTATGTAATGACAATTTATTCTTGACTGATGCTGTTAAAAATCTGTGATTCCTTGTGGTATACCTCATGAAATAAACTGATGATGTGTTGGCTTACCTGCAATTACTTCTCCTGCCGCTAGATCATAGCCGGAATCCCAGACAATGCCATCCTTGTAGATCTTCCAGGAGCCTCGATTCGAAGCCCATGTGACTATGATGTGATGCCATACTCCGTCATTTGCGTACACATCCGTTACCTGCTGGTGGTTGTTTACACTTATTACAAACCTACGGACGAGACAGAAAATTACACATCACATTCTAACAAGATAGCAGGATCGTCGTTAACAACACACGCATTCATTAAACTCATTAGCCACAAGTTTCAATTTTCAAATTCAAAATACTTTAATTCGTCTATGTGATAACACATCACCAAATTTAAAGCATTTTGCCGAGAGTTGAAAAGGTATTTCCGTGGAAGAGGCTGGACTGCAGAGAGTAAAAATAATTCAACACTATTCAACTTTGAATAATTTTGGCGCAGCATTCATTCAATCTTTATCGTAACGTGCTCAAGTGATTTATTATTGTAAAACTAGCGACAGTAGGACAAATGGCTATGGCTCAATCGACAAAAAATTAAATGTACGAAAAATTCCAAACCCTTCATAATTGGTTAAGGTGAAAGCGTTATCCATAGCGCTAGACGAAGCATAAGAAAACGGTGTCCCTTGATTGGTATCGTCATCCGTCTTCATCCAGAACGAGACTGTCAGAGCGGTAAGGTCAGACGCGATGGTAGTAGTAGTGTAGTTTATCACGCCAGACGATGGAAACACCAACATGTAATTATCCGTTAGCTCTGCAACAACAACAAAAATAAGAGGTCCATAGACCTTAACGGGCATATGAGTTGATTTTTTGTTTTTAACAAACGACCAGCACAAACTTAACAAAACTGCCTTATTTATCCAATATCTACCATACAGATTAAAGTCTGCTGAGTAGTGTTTGTAGCAATTGTGGATTTGAAATCCAACTCTTAGGGCCCTGCACTGAAGTTGTCAAAAACTTGAACTTCCTTGACAACGAAATTACAACGTGTTTTGTAATTCCAACTGAAAAAAATATATATATTTATAAAAATACTCAAACATTTGACCCCTGTGACCTCGAAAATGGGTCAAAGTCATTCCCTTTAACAAACTTGGTAGCCCTTCATCCCACCATCCTACAGGTCCATTATCAGACCTCTGGGTCTTTCGATCACTGAAAAGAAGTCGTTTGAAGATTTTCACACATTTGACACCAGTGAAAGTCAGTCAATGTCATTAATTTGAACAAACGTGGTAGACCTTCATTTCAGCATGCAACAGTTTCAGTATCAGGATATTGTGCATTCCCATTAAAATGTAAATTGTATACGACGCACGACGCACGACGAGGGACAAAAGGCGATCGCAAGGATAACATTCGTGTTATTTCATATGCTTCTTCTAAATTTGTGTCTTGTACACCTGAAGACTTTGAGAAATGTGGCCAAGACACCAACGCTTATGAATAAAAAATAAACAATGTGTAATGTGTATGATGTGAATAACCTTTCTAGATGCTGGCAGATATCTTATATTTAAGTTTACATTGATGTATCCAATATTCATTTTGTTTCCATAGATATGTATGATTGTGTATTAAGACTTATAGACATAACAGGTAAGTAATAGGTAAATAATACCTGATTCACACTTGGATCCAGTGAAGCCAGAGGGACAATGACACTCGTAGCCGTTGACCAGATCCTCACATGTAGATAGTGGTGAACAGGGAGTTAATGCGCAATCGTCGACATCCACGTCACACGTCTTTCCTGTAAATCCAGGCCGACACCGACAACTAGAGAAATATAAATTTAGGTAAGATCGGTTGCAAATATGCAAGGTAAGTAACGGTCAAATCAAAGGTAGGTAAGTAACAAGTAGCCCGTTTATTAATAGATCTTATTTATCTTACAATAGTTGCGAAATAAGTTTTTCTAGTTTATAAAAATCGCTCTTGTAGTCCCGCATGGAAGAGCACGAGGGGTCTTACTGCGTGAGGAAACCCACGTGGTCGGGTAGGTGACCTCATATCTTTTCACATCCATTCCGGGAATCGAACCCCGGACGGCTAGGTGAAAGGCGAGTCATTACCACATAATAAGTAACAGGAAGGTAAGTGGCAGGTATCAAGTAGGTAAGGAGTTGACAGGTAACAGGTTAGTAATAGGTAAATAAGTAACAGGTTGATAAGTGATAGGTAACAGGTAAGTAATAGGTAAATAAGTAGCAGGTAGATAAGTTAGGTAACAGGTAAGTAATAGGTAAATAAGTAACAGGTTGATAAGTGATAGGTAACAGTTAAGTAATAGGTAAATAAGTAGCAGGTAGATAAGTGATAGGTAACAGGTAAGTAATAGGGAAATAAGTAGCAGGTTGATAAGTGATAGGTAACAGGTAAGTAATAGGTAAATAAGTAGCGGGTTGATAAGTGATAGGTAACAGGTAAGTAATAGTTAATAAGTAACAGGTAGATAAGTGATAGGTAACAGGTAGATAAGTAATAGGTAAATAAGTAACAGGTTGATAAGTGATAGGTAACAGGTAAGTAATAGGTAAATAAGTAGCAGGTTGATAAGTGATAGGTAACAGGTAAGTAATAGGTAAATAAGTAGCAGGTAGATAAGTGATAGGTAACAGGTAAGTAATAGGTAAATAAGTAGCAGGTAGATAAGTGATAGGTAACAGGTAAGTAATAGGTAAATAAGTAACAGGTTGATAAGTGATAGGTAACAGGTAAGTAATAGTTAATAAGTAACAGGGAGATAAGTGATAGGTAACAGGTAAGTAATAGGTAAATAAGTAACAGGTTGATAAGTGATAGGTAACAGGTAAGTAATAGGTAAATAAGTGGCAGGTAGATAAGTGATAGTTAACAGGTAAGTAATAGGTGGCAGGTAGATAAGTGATAGTTAACAGGTAAGTAATAGGTAAATAAGTAACAGGTTGATAAGTGATAGGTAACAGGTAAGTAATAGGTAAATAAGTAGCAGGTAGATAAGTGATAGGTAACAGGTAAGTAATAGGTAAATAAGTAGCAGGTAGATAAGTGATAGGTAACAGGTAAGTAATAGGTAAATAAGTAACAGGTTGATAAGTGATAGGTAACAGGTAAGTAATAGTTAATAAGTAACAGGTAGATAAGTGATAGGTAACAGGTAAGTAATAGGTAAATAAGTAACAGGTTGATAAGTGATAGGTAACAGGTAAGTAATAGGTAAATAAGTAACAGGTTGATAAGTGATAGGTAACAGGTAAGTAATAGGTAAATAAGTAACAGGTTGATAAGTGATAGGTAACAGGTAAGTAATAGGTAAATAAGTAGCAGGTAGATAAGTTAGGTAACAGGTAAGTAATAGGTAAATAAGTAACAGGTTGATAAGTTATAGGTAACAGGTAAGTAATAGGTAAATAAGTAGCAGGAAGATAAGTTAGGTAACAGGTAAGTAATAGGTAAATAAGTAGCAGGTAGATAAGTGATAGTTAACAGGTAAGTAATAGGTAAATAAGTAACAGGTAGATAAATGATAGGTAACAGGTAAGTAATAGGTAAATAAGTAGCAGGTAGATAAGTGATAGTTAACAGGTAAGTAATAGGTAAATAAGTAACAGGTTGATAAGTGATAGTTAACAGGTAAGTAATAGGTAATAGGTAAATAAGTAACAGGTAGATAAGTGATAGGTAACAGGTAAGTAATAGGTAAATAAGTAACAGGTAAATAAGTAACAGGTGATAGGTAACAGGTAAGTAATAGGTAAATAAGTAACAGGTTGATAAGTGATAGGTAACAGGTAAGTAATAGGTAAATAAGTAACAGGTAAATGATAAGTGATAGGTAACAGGTAAGTAATAGGTAAATAAGTAACAGGTAGATAAGTGATAGGTAACAGGTAAGTAATAGGTAAATAAGTAACAGGTTGATAAGTGATAGGTAGCAGGTAAATAATAGGTAAATAAGTAGCAGGTAGATAAGTGATAGGTAACAGGTAAGTAATAGGTAAATAAGTAGCAGGTAGATAAGTGATAGGTAACAGGTAAGTAATAGGTAAATAAGTAGCAGAAAGATAAGTTAGGTAACAGGTAAGTAATAGGTTAGATAAGTGATAGGTAACAGGTAAGTAATAGTAAATAAGTAACAGGTAGATAAAGGTGATAGGTAACAGGTAACAGGTAAGTAATAGGTATAATAAGTAGTAACAGGTAAGTAATAGTAAATAAGTAACAGATAAGTGATAGGTAACAGGTAAGTAATAGGTAAATAAGTAACAGGTAGATAAGTGATAGGTAACAGGTAAGTAATAGGTAAATAAGTAGCAGGTAGATAAGTGATAGGTAACAGGTAAGTAATAGGTAAATAAGTAACAGGTAAGTGATAAAGTGAGTAACAGGTAGATAAGTGATAGGTAACAGGTAAGTAATAGGTAAATAAGTAACAGGTAGATAAGTGATAGGTAACAGGTAAGTAATAGGTAAATAAGTAACAGGTAGGATAAGATGATAGGTAACAGGTAAGTAATAGGTAAATAAGTAACAAGATAAGTGATAGGTAACAGGTAAGTAATAGGTAACAGGTGATAAGTAATAGTAATAAATAAGTAACAGGTTGATAAGTGATAGGTAACAGGTAAGTAATAGGTAAATAAGTAACAGGTAGATAAGTGATAGGTAACAGGTAAGTAATAGGTAAATAAATAGCAGGTAGATAAGTGATAGGTAACAGGTAAGTAATAGGTAAATAAGTAGCAGGTAGATAAGTGATAGGTAACAGGTAAGTAATAGGTAAATAAGTAGCAGGTAGATAAGTGATAGGTAACAGGTAAGTAATAGGTAAATAAGTAACAGGTGGATAAGTGATAGGTAACAGGTAAGTAATAGGTAAATATGTAACAGGTTGATAAGTGATAGGTAACAGGTAAGTAATAGGTAAATAAGTAACAGGTGGATAAGTGATAGGTAACAGGTAAGTAATAGGTAAATAAGTAACAGGTTGATAAGTGATAGGTAACAGGTAAGTAATAGGTAAATAAGTAACAGGTTGATAAGTGATAGGTAACAGGTAAGTAATAGGTAAATAAGTAACAGGTAGATAAGTGATAGGTAACAGGTAAGTAATAGGTAAATAAGTAACAGGTTGATAAGTGATAGGTAACAGGTAAGTAATAGGTAAATAAGTAGCAGGAAGATAAGTTAGGTAACAGGTAAGTAATAGGTAAATAAGTAGCAGGAAGATAAGTTAGGTAACAGGTAAGTAATAGGTAAATTAGAAGCAGGTAGATAAATGATAGGTAACAGGTAAGTAATAGGTAAATAAGTAGCAGGTAGATAAGTGATAGGTAACAGGTAAGTAATAGGTAAATAAGTAACAGGTAGATAAGTGATAGGTAACAGGTAAGTAATAGGTAAATAAATAGCAGGTAGATAAGTGATAGGTAACAGGTAAGTAATAGGTAAATAAGTAACAGGTAGATAAGTGTGATAGTAAATAGGTAACAGGTAAGTAATAGGTAAATAAGTAGCAGGTAGATAAGTGATAGTTAACAGGTAAGTAATAGGTAAATAAGTAACAGGTAGATAAGTGATAGGTAACAGGTAAGTAATAGGTAAATAAGTAACAGGTTGATAAGTGATAGGTAACAGGTAAGTAATAGGTAAATAAGTAGCAGGTAGATAAGTGATAGGTAACAGGTAAGTAATAGGTAAATAAGTAACAGGTTGATAAGTGATAGGTAACAGGTAAGTAATAGGTAAATAAGTAACAGGTTGATAAGTGATAGGTAACAGGTAAGTAATAGGTAAATAAGTAGCAGGTAGATAAGTGATAGGTAACAGGTAAGTAATAGGTAAATAAGTAGTAACAGGTAGATAAGTGATAGGTAACAGGTAAGTAATAGGTAAATAAGTAACAGTTAGATAAGTGATAGGTAACAGGTAAGTAATAGGTAAATAAGTAACAGGTAGATAAGTGATAGGTAACAGGTAAGTAATAGGTAAATAAGTAACAGTGATAGGTAACAGGTAAGTAATAGGTAAATAAGTAACAGGTAGATAAGTGATAGGTAACAGGTAAGTAATAGGTAAATAAGTAGGTAACAACAGATAAGTGATAGGTAACAGGTAAGTAATAGGTAAATAAGTAACAGGTAGATAAGTGATAGGTAACAGGTAAGTAATAGATAAATAAGTAGCAGGTAGATAAGCGATAGGTAACAGGTAAGTAATAGGATAAGCGATAGGTAACAGGTAAGTAATAGGTAAATAAGTAACAGGTAGATAAGTGATAGGTAACAAATAATAGTAAATAAGCAGGTAGATAAGTGATAGGTAACAGGTAAGTAATAGGTAAATAAGTAACAGGTAGATAAGTGATAGGTAACAGGTAAGTAATAGGTAAATAAGTAACAGGTAGATAAGTGATAGGTAACAGGTAAGTAATAGGTAAATAAGTAGGTAAGCAGGTAACAGATAAGTGATAGGTAACAGGTAAGTAATAGGTAAATAAGTAACAGGTTGATAAGTGATAGAACAGGTTAGTAATAGGTAAATAAGTAACAGGTTGATAAGTGATAGGTAGCAGGTAAATAATAGGTAAATAAGTAGCAGGTAGATAAGTGATAGGTAACAGGTAAGTAATAGGTAAATAAGAAGCATGTAGATAAATGATAGGTAACAGGTAAGTAATAGGTAAATAAGTAGCAGGTAGATAAGTGATAGGTAACAGGTAAGTAATAGGTAAATAAGTAACAGGTAGATAAGTGATAGGTAACAGGTAAGTAATAGGTAAATAAGTAGCAGGTAGATAAGTGATAGGTAACAGGTAAGTAATAGGTAAATAAGTAACAGGTGGATAAGTGATAGGTAACAGGTAAGTAATAGGTAAGTAAGTAACAGGTTGATAAGTGATAGGTAACAGGTAAGTAATAAGTAGCAGGTAGATAAGTGATAGTTAACAGGTAAGTAATAGGTAAATAAGTAACAGGTAGATAAGTGATAGGTAACAGGTAAGTAATAGATAAATAAGTAGCAGGTAGATAAGCGATAGGTAACAGGTAAGTAATAGGTAAATAAGTAACAGGTAGATAAGTGATAGGTAACAGGTAAGTAATAGGTAAATAAGTAACAGGTTGATAAGTGATAGGTAACAGGTAAGTAATGGGTAAATAAGTAACAGGTTGATAAGTGATAGGTAACATAAAATAGGTAAATAAGTAACAGGATAAGTATATAACAGGTAAGTAATAGGTAAATAAGTAACAGGTAGATTAGTGATAGGTAATAGGTAAGTAATAGGTAAATAAGTAACAGGTAGATAAGTGATAGGTAACAGGTAAGTAATAGTTAAATAAGTAACAGGTTGATAAGTGATAGGTAACAGGTAAGTAATAGATAAATAAGTAGCAGGTAGATAAGTGATAGGTAACAGGTAAGTAATAGTTAATAAGTAACAGGTAGATAAGTGATAGGTAACAGGTAAGTAATAGGTAAATAAGTAACAGGTAGATAAGTGATAGGTAACAGGTAAGTAATAGGTAAATAAGTAACAGGTTGATAAGTGATAGGTAACAGGTAAGTAATAGGTAAATAAGTAACAGGTAGATAAGTGATAGGTAACAGGTAAGTAATAGGTAAATAAGTAACAGGTAGATAAGTGATAGGTAACAGGTAAGTAATAGGTAAATAAGTAACAGGTTGATAAGTGATAGGTAACAGGTAAGTAATAGGTAAATAAGTAACAGGTTGATAAGTGATAGGTAACAGGTAAGTAATAGTTAATAAGTAACAGGTACATAAATGATAGGTAACAGGTAAGTAATAGGTAAATAAATAGCAGGTAGATAAGTGATAGGTAACAGGTAAGTAATAGGTAAATAAGTAACAGGTAGATAAGTGATAGGTAACAGGTAAGTAATAGGTAAATAAGTAACAGGTTGATAAGTGATAGGTAACAGGTAAGTAATAGGTAAATAAGTAGCAGGTAGATAAGTGATAGGTAACAGGTAAGTAATAGGTAAATAAGTAACAGGTTGATAAGTGATAGGTAACAGGTAAGTAATAGGTAAATAAGTAACAGGTTGATAAGTGATAGGTAACAGGTAAGTAATAGGTAAATAAGTAACAGGTAGATAAGTGATAGGTAACAGGTAAGTAATAGGTAAATAAGTAACAGGTAATGTAAATAATACAGTGATAAGTGATAGGTAACAGGTAAGTAATAGGTAAATAAGTAACAGGTTGATAAGTGATAGGTAACAGGTAAGTAATAGGTAAATAAGTAACAGGTAGATAAGTGATAGGTAACAGGTAAGTAATAGGTAAATAAGTAACAGGTAGATAAGTGATAGGTAACAGGTAAGTAATAGGTAAATAAGTAACAGGTTGATAAGTGATAGGTAACAGGTAAGTAATAGATAAATAAGTAGCAGGTAGATAAGCGATAGGTAACAGGTAAGTAATAGGTAAATTAGTAACAGGTTGATAAGTGATAGGTAACAGGTAAGTAATAGGTAAATAAGTAGCAGGAAGATAAGTTAAGTAACAGGTAAGTAATAGGTAAATAAGAAGCAGGTAGATAAGTGATAGGTAACAGGTAAGTAATAGGTAAATAAGTAACAGTTTGATAAGTGATAGGTAACAGGTAAGTAATAGGTAAATAAGTAACAGGTTGAAAAGTGATAGGTAACAGGTAAGTAATAGGTAAATAAGTAACAGGTTGATAAGTGATAGGTAACAGGTAAGTAATAGGTAAATAAGTAACAGGTTGATAAGTGATAGGTAACAGGTAAGTAATAGGTAAATAAGTAGCAGGAAGATAAGTTAAGTAACAGGTAAGTAATAGGTAAATAAGTAGCAGGAAGATAAGTTAGGTAACAGGTAAGTAATAGGTAAATAAGATGCAGGTAGATAAATGATAGGTAACAGGTAAGTAATAGGTAAATAAGTAGCAGGTAGATAAGTGATAGGTAACAGGTAAGTAATAGGTAAATAAGTAGCAGGAAGATAAGTTAGGTAACAGGTAAGTAATAGTTAAATAAGTAACAGGTAGATAAATGATAGGTAACAGTTAAGTAATAGGTAAATAAATAGCAGGTAGATAAGTGATAGGTAACAGGTTAGTAATAGGTAAATAAGTAACAGGTTGATAAGTGATAGGTAGCAGGTAAATAATAGGTAAATAAGTAGCAGGTAGATAAGTGATAGGTAACAGGTAAGTAATAGGTAAATAAGTAGCAGGTATATAAATGATAGGTAACAGGTAAGTAATATGTAAATAAGTAACAGGTTGATAAGTGACAGGAAACAGATAAGTAATAGGTAAATAAGTAGCAGGTATATAAATGATAGGTAACAGGTAAGTAATAGGTAAATAAGTAGCAGGTAGATAAGTGATAGTTAAGAGGTAAGTAATAGTTAAATAAGTAACAGGTAGATAAGTGATAGTTAACAGGTAAGTAATAGGTAAATAAGTAACAGGTTGATAAGTGACAGAAAACACATAGGTAAATAACAGGAAACAGAGATGTCAGTGACAGGTAATAGGTAGGTAAGTAAGTAACAGGAAGGCAGATATCAGGCAGGTTAGTAACAGAAAACAGGTCGGTAAGTAACAGGAAGAAGGCAAGGAAGAGACAGGTAACAGGGAAGTAAGAGACAGGTAACAGGGAAGTAAGAGATCGGTAACAGGGAAGTAAGAGACAGGTAACAGGGAAGTAAGTGACAGGTAACAGGGAAGTAAATGAAAGGTAACAGGGAAGTAAGAGATCGGTAACAGGGAAGTAAGAGACAGGTAACAGGGAAGTAAGTGACAGGTAACAGGGAAGTAAGTGACAGGGAAGTAAGTGAGAGATAACAGGGAAGTAAGAGAGGATAACAAGGAAGTAAGAGACAGGTAACAGGGAAGTAAATGACAGGTAACAGGGAAGTAAGAGATCGGTAACAAGGAAGTAAGTGACAGGTAACAGGGAAGTAAATGACAGGTAACAGGGAAGTAAGAGATCGGTAACAGGGAAGTAAGAGACAGGTAACAGGGAAGTAACTGACAGGTAACAGGGAAGTAAGTGACAGGGAAGTAAGTGAGAGATAACAGGGAAGTAAGATAGGATAACAAGGAAGTAAGAGACAGGTAACAGGGAAGTAAGAGAGAGGTAACAGTAAAGTAAGTGACAGGCTACAGGGAAGTAAGAGACAGGTAAAAGGGAAGTAAGAGTCAGGTAACAGGAAAGTAAGAGACAGATAATAGGGAAGTAAGAGACAGATAACAGGGAAGTAAGTGACAGGTATCTGGGAAATAAGTGACCGGTAACATTGAAGTAAGTGACAGGTAATAGGGAAGTAACTGACAGGTAACAATGAAGTTAGTGACAAACAGAGGAAGCAATAATAAACCATGTCAATATGAGGTTGCTTACAAAATTATCTGCTCATGTCCTGGTATCCAAATACATTAAGAATATGTACAGTATTAATAAATAATTAACTAAACTTCATCATACAACCGTTTCGTCTTCCAAAGACTCGCCAGTGATGATTGGGACAAAAATGTCGAAATCTAAGGAGATTACTGAGGAAAATGAAAAAAATGATTGAAAGAAATGTTAACATGTAGATTGGAAGGTATGCTAGCTCCTACTTCAATATTTTTTCTTATTTTCATACAATTGATGTGTATTCATTAAAACGTGGCATGCAGGTTACGGCAAAGACTGGGGACAACAACGTTTAGCACCTTCAATCTTGAACAAGGTACAAAAGCCATACAAGTGAATAACAACTTCCAATAAAAATTAAGAATTAGATACAGTAGAACCAAACAATTGAGTGATCATATAGGTGTTTCGTCCGTTATATACTCACTAGTGACACTTTGAACCTAAAAAATGATGAAACCTAGTAGGCGAATGAAAATACTATGTATTCATCCAGGGATAGATGCTATGTTCCAGCTGTAGAGTTCATCATCCTGAATGGTAGTAAAGTTTTTAATGATTCAAATTCAAATTATTTAGTTCTTTGGCCTTTCAGTCAACCAGATTTTACACACAACATAAATCATATCCATCAAGTACTTATCATATTTTGCACATGTCAATTAAAACGATTTGTTGAATATCAAAACAATAACTGCCTTACCCAAATGCCCCGATACCATCGACGCATTCAGCACCATTTTCACAAGGCGAGCTTTCACACTCGTCCGTGTTTATCTCACAATCTGCTCCCTCATAACCTGTCGTACAGGTACATGTGTACCCCTCTAGAACATTCTCGCATGACCCTCCGTTCACACATGGGTTAGTGTGACAATCGTCGACAAGACGTTCACAGGAATCACCTTCGTTCAGATAAATGTGAACGTCAATATAACAACTCATGACACTACATTTACCAGGAATGATCAACACAACATATTAGATATTATAATATTTATCCCCCCATTCACGATAAAATGATGTAATAATAATGTGCCTTGAAATACTTTGTCTTAATTTCATTTGTGATGTATTTGCCACTACATTTTTTCTCTATGAATTTTCACAATTTCAAGTGACTGACCTACCTTGGTAACCAGTAGCACAAGAGCACACGTACGCGTTCACCTCGTCCACGCACGTGCCGTTGTTCTGACAAGGTGACGTAATACAATCGTCAATATCGACCTCACACTTTTTCCCTGAACACAAGCAAAGTTTATTAGTCAGAGTTGAACAATCCAATTCGAATGGATTACAGTATTCATTTGTATGTAAGTAACGGTCTTAGTTATTCTATCGTTAGCAGATGTAGTAATAATGCCAAATTATTCAGTGACGTCTACTTTTCTCTTCCTGTTTCATTAAGATATTTATTACTCACCTGTATATCCAGGTTCACATTGGCAGGAGAAATCGGCCTTTTGATCAACACACACGCCAGAGTTAAGACAAGGGTTTCCCTCGCACTCATTTGTGACGGTCTCACAATGAATACCTATAAAACATATTCCTAAATGTTTACACTTACAAGCCTATATATATTAACTACCCATATACTACGCCCTATTCACTTGTGTGTCCTTCGAACAATCTTCCATCCCCAATTTTCATACACAGGCACGTGCTTGTCATGAGAAACGTATATTTTCGTATCCTTGTATCATAAGTCTCACAAAACTTTGGTTTATTATGTTTACTGAAAATTTTGCCATACGAACACTTTTTGGAAACATTTAAAATTCTATCACAGTCAAACACTATTGAAACACATTTGTTCGGTAAGGGTTCATCTCAGAAAATAAATAGAAATGTGAGATCGGTCATTTTTACCAATCCCTTGTCCATACCTTCAAAACCTGGTAAGCATTCACAATGGAATCCAAAATCTCGAGTGGTACATGACCCTCCATTTTGACACCGGTCGACGAAGCAATCATTGACCGGTATAGACTGCTCCAATGTTTCTCCTGGGGGTACGTCTGCCTGCATTTGAGTGTCCCATCCGCCTGTAAATATGTTCAGAATATGTATCTGTATTCTGTGCATGAACTTGTAATTCCAAATGTCGATATGACATCTTTCAGTTCATGAATGATATTTTGCATAGTCGGGCGCGTTTCACAGAATTACCTTGACAGTCTGATAAATTTGTTGATGCGCGCTCGGCCGTAGTGCCTTCCCCTGGACATCGGAAGCAGGAGGACATGGCCACTTCCGGTTGATAGGTACCTCTTGGACATGAATAACAGGGTTCGAGACCATTCTTAGAGACGTGTCCTAGGCCACATCTGTCTGAAAAGGACGATAAAACATTTTTGTGACATAATATAATTCTTTTGTATCAGGTGATTAAACAGTAGACAAAAATGACTACATACAAAATAATTGACAACAAAAACAAAACGTCTGCATATTTTTTTTTAAAAAGCGAACGGAAAAGCAACAAAAGATTACCCAGTCGCTTCTTTGATGCTGAAATGACTCGACCTGAAGTTATATTTTTCATACAAAAAAAAAAAAAAATGAATAAATAAATAAAATAATGATTTCCTTTCTTGTCACATGGTTTGATAAAATGTCCGCATATACTAAAACGTTGAAGAAGATAGCATCAGCACCATTCATTTCTCGCGAAATGTATTGATATTGCCACGGCTTAAACGAGGGTTGCCTCTGGTTATTTCAAGAGAAATCATATGTTAGGGATATTTTTGCAATAAAAACCGTTCCACTTTCAATTCATGTCACCTATTTTTAACGCGGTTTCTGGGTGTCTTACTTTTACAGTGAGATACTCCTCTGGAACCTCGCCGTACGGTTGTTTGGTTATTGGGACAAAGGATACATGACGTCTTCCCATACAGGGTTTGATAGGTTCCGATAGGGCAGGTGGAGCACCGTTCAAGGCCGTCAGTAGAAACAGTACCAGGTAGACACAGCGCTTTACGAAAGAGTACAACAAGACATTACATATGACAAATAGATAGAAAACAGAAAGAATACAATACAAATGAATATAAGTGAGTTTTAACTCATATTCAACATAGGAAGACATCTTATAATTGTCATTGTGATCTAATTGAAAAAAAAAGTATTTTTGTGTGACATGAAGCTAGACGTGTTTCATCCTCGTTGGTTTGTCTGTATGTTTAGTTGTTGTATACATTTCTCGTTTGTGAACGTGCCATTACTTGTACTTTTTCAGTTGTATCCTTTCTTTTGTTCGTATTTTGCCATAGTTTTATCGAGTTTTAGTTTGAATTATGATTATGTTAAGATGTTGGTATTTTCTTATTGTTTTCCTACCTTTACATTCACTTTCCGACTTAGAATAATTTCCGTGAGTAGAGGTGTTTGAAGGACAAACTACACATGTGATCTCTCCTTCCTGGGGCTGGAAACTTCCAGTCTGACAGGCATCACATTCCTTAGTTACAACATTGAAGAATGTTCCAGCAGGGCAAGGAACTGAAACCATTTAAACCAAGTAAGGAAATGTAGAGATGACATAGTACTGTATGTTCTTATAATCGATACCCAGCATACCGCAAATACTAAAACTAATAGTTATTAGTTAAGTAACGTAAACAAGGAACATTTTAAATCATTCATGAAACACACAGTTCTACAATTCCAAATGAACTTGGTGAAGTATTAAGTAATGTCACTGGTGAGTGACAACCAGATTAATTGATGAATTAGTAACAGATGGTCTTGTTCCATTTTTATTTGACAATTGAAATCGTTTCTGTAAAGGAAATATAAAACTCGTCCTTACCACACAGGCCGTTGACAGGAACCCTGCCAGGATTGCAGTTCGACCGTGGCCCTTTAGTATCGTACGTCATGTTGGCAAAGTGCATTCGTGTTCCGCTCATCTCTAGGTCCAATTCTCCTTGTGTGGCTTTCTTTTCTAGCTTGTTGAGAACATTGGTCAGGCTTTTTGTCAGTTCCTTCTGTTGATTAACGTCTACAGTAATATTTCCTGTTTTTGTAGCCACACCTGTTTAAAAAGCAGTTGGAACAGGTTTTAGTTAAAGTTCTTTTAATTGAAAGAAAAAAAAATCTTCCAGTTTCTTATATCATATGCAGTTAAGTCAATAAAATATAGGACCGAACACAACTCTGATGTTATTGTAGTCTGCCAATAAGAAGGATATATAGGACCGAAAACAACCCTGATAAAAGATATATAAGTAATGTAAATATATAAGAATACATGATATATATCAAAGGCATATCTACCTGCCAATACAAGAATGATATATAGGACCGAACACAACACTGATGGTATTGTAATCTGCCAATAAGAAGGATATATAGGACTGAACACAACCCTGATGGTGTTGTAGTCTACCAATAACAAAAATATATAGGGCCGAACACAACCCTAATTCTTTGTAGTCTGCCAATAAAAAGAATATAAAGTACCGAACACAATCCTGATGATATTGTAGTCTGCCAATAAGAAGGATATATAGGACCGAACACAACCCTGATGATATTATAGTGTGTCAATAAGAAGGATATATAGGACCGAATACAACCCTGATGATATTGTAGTCTGCCAATACAAGGATATATAGGACCGAATACAACCCTGATGATATTGTAGTCTGCCAATACAAGAAAATATAGGACCGAACACAACCCTGATGATATTGTAGTCTGCCAATAACAAGAATATACAGGACCGAACACAACCCTGATGATATTGTAGTCTGCCAATAACAAGGATATATAGGACCGAACACAACCCTGATGGTATTGTAGTCTGCCAATAAGAAGAATATATAGGACCGAACACAACCCTGATGATATTGAAATCTGCCAATAAGAAGAATATATAGGACCGAACACAACCCTGATGATATTGTAGTCTGCCAATAAGAAGGATATATAGGACCGAACACAACCCTGATGATATTGCAATCTGCCAATAACAAGAATTAACAGGACCGAACACAACCCTGATGGTATTGAAATCTTCCAATAACAAGTATATACAGGATCGAACACAACCCTGATGATATTGTAGTCTGCCAATAAGAAGGATATAAGAAGGCCAATACAAGAAAATATAGGACCGAACACAACACTGACGGTATTGTAGTCTGCCAATAAGAAGGATATATAGGACCGAATACTACCCTGATGGTTTGGAGTCTGCCAATACAACAAAATATAGGACCGAACACAACCCTGATGATATTGTATTCTGCCAATACAAGAAAATATAGGACCGAACACAACCCTGATGATATTGTAGTCTGCCAATACAAGAAAATATAGGACCGAACACAACCCTGATGATATTGTAATCTGCCAATAAGAAGGATATATAGGACTGAACACAACCCTGATGGTATTGTAGTCTGCCAATAACAAAAATATATAGGGCCGAACACAACCCTAATGCTTCGTAGTCTGCCAATAACAAGAATATTAAGTACAGAACACAATTCTGATGATATTGTAGTCTGCCAATAAGAAGGATATATAGAAAATATAGGACCGAACACAACTCTGATGTTATTGTAGTCTGCCAATAAGAAGGATATACAGGACCGAACACAACACTGATGGTATTGTAGTCTGCCAATAAGAATGATATATAGGACCGAACACAACCCTGATGATATTGTAGTCTGCCAATAAGAAGGATATCTAGGACCGAACACAACCCTGATGGTTTTGAAATCTGCCAATAACAAGAATATACAGGATCGAACACAACCCTGATGATAGTGTAGTCTGCCAATAAGAAGGATATATAGGAGCGAATACAACCCTGATGATATTGTAGTCTGCCAATAAGAAGGATATATAGGACCGAACACAACCCTGATGATATTGTAGTCTGCCAATAAGAAGGATATATAGGACCGAACACAACCCTGATGGTATTGAAATCTGCCAATAACAAGAATATACAGGACCGAACACAACCCTGATGATATTGTAGTCTGCCAATAAGAAGGATATATAGGACCGAACACAACCCTGATGATATTGTAGTCTGCCAATAAGAAGGATATATAGGACCGAACACAACCCTGATGATATTGTAGTCTGCCAATAAGAAGGATATATAGGACCGAACACAACCCTGATGATATTGAAATCTGGCAAGAATAAGAATGATATATAGGACCGAACACAACCCTGATGATATTGTAGTCTGCCAATAAGAAGGATATATAGGACCGAATACAACCCTGATGATATTGTAGTCTGCCAATACAAGAAAATATAGGACCGAACACAACCCTGATGATATTGTAGTCTGCCAATAAGAAGGATATATAGGACCGAACACAACCCTGATGATATTGTAGTCTGCCAATAAGAAGGATATATAGGACAGAACATAACCCTGATGATATTGTAGTCTGCCAATATAAGAACACAAGGATATTATGCCAATATATAGGACCGAACACAATCCTGATGGCATTGTAGTCTGCCAATGACAAAAATATATCGGACCGAATACAACCCTGATGATATTGTAGTCTGCCAATAAGAAGGATATATAGGACCGAACACAACCCTGATGATATTGTAGTCTGCCAATAAGAAGGATATATAGGACCGAACACAACCCTGATGATATTGTAGTCTGCCAATAAGAAGGATATATAGGACCGAACACAACCCTGATGATATTGTATTCTGCCAATACAAGAAAATATAGGACCGAACACAAATCTGATGTTATTGTAGTCTGCCAATAAGAAGGATATATAGGACCGAACACAACCCTGATGGTATTGAAATCTGCCAATAACAAGAATATACAGGACCGAACACAACCCTGATGATATTGTAGTCTGCCAATAAGAAGGATATATAGGACCGAATACAACCCTGATGATATTGTAGTCTGCCAATACAAGAAAATATAGGACCGAACACAACCCTGATGATATTGTATTCTGCCAATACAAGAAAATATAGGACCGAACACAACACTGATGATATTGTAGTCTGCCAATAAGAAAGATATATAGGACCGAACACAACCTTGATGATTTTGTGTTTTGCCAATAAGAAGGATATATAGGACCGAACACAACCCTGATGATATTGTAGTCTGCCAATAAGAAGAATATACAGGACCGAACACAACCCTGATGATATTGTAGTCTGCCAATAAGAAGGATATATAGGACCGAACACAACCCTGATGATATTGTAGTCTGCCAATAAGAAGGATATATAGGACCGAACACAACACTGATGATATTGTAGTCTGCAAATAGGAAGGATATATAGGACCGAACACAACCCTTATGATATTGTAGTCTGCCAATCCAAGAATATATAGACCCAAACACAACACTGATGGTATTGAAATCTGCCAATAAGAAGAATATACAGGACCGAACACAACCCTGATGATATTGTAGTCTGCCGATAAGAAGTATATATAAGACCGAACACAACCCTATATAGGAAATATATATATAGGACCGAACACAACCCTGATGATATTGTAGTCTGCCAATAAGAAGGATATATAGGACCGAACACAACCCTGATGGTATTGAAATCTGCCAATAACAAGAATATACAGGACAGAACATAACCCTGATGATATTGTAGTCTGCCAATCAGAAGGATATATAGGACCGAATACAACCCTTATGATATTGTAGTCTGCCAGTAACAAGAATATACAGGACCGAACACAACCCTGATGATATTGTAGTCTGCCAATAAGAAGGATATATAGGACCGAATACAACCCTGATGATATTGTAGTCTGCCAATACAAGAAAATATAGGACCGAACACAACCCTGATGATATTGTAGTCTGCCAATACAAGAAAATACAGGACCGAACACAACCCTTCTGATATTGTAGTCTGCCAATACAAGAAAATATAGGACCGAACACAACCCTGATGATATTGTAGTCTGCCAATACAAGAATATATAGGACCGAACACAACCCTGATGATATTGTAGTCTGCCAATAAGAAGGATATATAGGACCAAACACAACCCTGATGATATTGTAGTCTGCCAATAACAATGATATAAAGGACCCAACACAACCCTGATGATATTGTAGTCTGCCAATAACAATGATATAAAGGACCCAACACAACCCTGATGATATTGTAGTCTGCCAATAAGAAGAATATACAGGACCGAACACAACCCTGATGATATTGTAGTCTGCCAATAACAAGAACATATAGGACCGAACACAACCCTGATGGTATTGTAGTCTGCCAATAACAAGAATATACAGGACCGAACACAACCCTGATGATATTGTAGTCTGCCAATAAGAAGGATATATAGGACCGAACACAACCCTGATGGTATTGAAATCTGCCAATAACAAGAACATATATGACCGAACACAACCCTGATGATATTGTAGTCTGCCAATAACAAGAATATATATAACCGAAAACAACACTAATGATCTTGCAGTCTTCTAATAAGAAGGATATATAGAAAATATAGGACCGAACACAACCCTGATGATATTGTAGTCTGCCAATAAGAAGGATATATAGAAAATATAGGACCGAACACAACTCTGATGATATTGTAGTCTGCCAATAAGAAGGATATATAGGACCGAACACAACCCTGATGGTATTGTAGTCTGCCAATAATAAGGATATATAGGACCGAATACAACCCTGATGATATTATAGTCTGCCAATACAAGAAAATATAGATCCGAACACAACCCTGATGATATTGTAGTCTGCCAATAAGAAGGATATATGGAACCAAACACAACCCTTATGATATTGTAGTCTGCCAATACAAGAGAATATAGGACCGAACACAACACTGATGATATTGTAGTCTGCCAATAAGAAGGATATATAGGACCGAACACAACCCTGATGATATTGTAGTCTGCCAATACAAGAAAATATAGGACCGAACACAACCCTGATGATATTGTAGTCTGCCAATAAGAAGGATATATAGGACCGAACACAACCCTGATGATATTGTAGTCTGCC